CCCTAATATTTTCTATGCATGTTCCTAAATACTTATGGGGTGATGCTATTTTGACTGCATGTTACCTTATTAATAAAATGCCTACTCATATTTTAAAATACATCACTCCGTTAGCCTATCTAAAAAGGATTTTTCCTACTTGTTGAATAGCATTAGATTTACAACTAAAGGTTTTTGGATGCACTGTCTTTGTTCACATACCAACCCATCTCCGATCCAAACTTGACCTTAGGGCAGAAAAATGTGTTTTCCTTGGATATGCTCCTAATAAGAAAGGGTACAAATGTTTCAACCCTCTTACAAAGAAAATTTACATTTGCATGGATGTGTCTTTCCTTGAAAAACAGCCTTGCTTTAGCCATGATTATCTTCAGGGGGAGAAAGGAAGAAGTGAAGATGAGTCCTGGCAAATTTCTGATCTTAATCTTCTTTCCAATATTTTCCCTAACATTGACTTGAATATCCATACTCCTTTAAAGGGTCAAGAAAAAGAAAAGTTATCTAGTGAAAATGATGAAAACCCGAGTCTACCTATACAAGACATAAGTGATTCTCAACGGGGGAAGAAATACTACCAAGTGTTACTTCATCTGAACTTCGTGCTTATACTAGTAGAAGAGATTATCAAAATAATAGAAATCCTTCTTCCAATCCGGAGCAATTCCACTCATCATCACCTCCACAAGTTGGTCCTTCCAGTACACAAGGTAACTCTTTCATTCCTATTCCTTTTGTTGACAATTCTGCTGATATTGAACTACCTATAGCCCTTAGGAAAGGAGCTAGAACCTTTACCACACATCCTATTTCAAAATATCTATCATATCATAGACTCTCTGATGCTCATAAGGTCTTTACATCCAATATTTCTCATTTGTTTATTCCAAGAACCATTCAGGAAGCCCTGGATTACCCAAAGTGGAGACTGGCTGTATGAATGCACTAATTACTAATGGTACTAGGGAAATTGGTGATCTACCAGAGGGGAAGAAAATCGTGGGATGTAAATGGTATTTACAATCAAATGCAAGGCTGATGGTAGTATAGAAAGATACAAAGCAAGACTTGTGGCAAAAGGGTTCACTCAAACATACGGAATTGACCATTAGGAAACCTTTGCTCTTGTAGCTAAATGAATTCAATTTGTGTGTTGCTTTTTCTAGCAGTCCATTTCAACTGGCCCTTGTATCAATTAGATGTAAATAATGCCTTCTTAAATGGAGACTTAGAGGAGGAAGTTTTTATGGATCTACCACCGAGATTTGAAATCAAAGGAGGCAAAGGGAAGGTGTGAAGATTGAGGAAGTCTTTGTATGGACTCAAGCAATCTCCAAGAGCTTGGTTTGAATGCTTTGGAAGGGTGATAAAGAGTCACGACTACAATCAAGGCCAAGCTGACCACACTATGTTCTATAGACACATTGGTAGAGACAAAGTAGCTATACTTATTTTTATGTTGATGATATTATTCTGACAGGAAATGGTAGCAATGAAATTGAGAGATTAAAGAAGATTCTTGCTAAGTAGTTTGAGATCAAAGACTTAGGTAATTTGAAATACTTTCTTGGTATGGAGTTTGCAAGGTCAAAGAGAGGTATATTTGTTTCTCAACGAAAATATATTCTTGATTTACTTGGAGAAACAAGCTTATTAGGGTGTAAAGCTGCAGAGACTCCCATAGAGCCGAATCAGAGAACAACACCAAAGATTGGTAGGAAAACTCCTATATCTCTCTCATACACGGCTAACACAGCTTTTGCAACAAGTGTAGTAAGCCAGTTTATGCACTTACCAAGACCTGAACATTTTGATGCTGTTTACAAGATTTTAAGGTACCTAAAGGGGACTCCAGGTAAAGGCCTACTATTTGGAGGTTATGGGAATTTACAAGTTGAAATATACACTGATGCGGATTGGGCTAGAAGTGTTACTGATAAAAGATCAACTTCTGGTTACTGTACATTTGTTGGAGGAAATTTAGTAACATGGCGCAGCAAGAAACAAAGAGTGGTGGCAAGGAGTAGTGCAGAGGCCGAGTTCAGGGCTATTGCTCATGGAATTTGTGAAGCACTGTGGATTAAAAGATTACTCGAAGAGTTGAAAGTCACTAATTCATTACCTATGAAACTATATTGTGATAATAAGGCAGCAATAGCTATAGCTCACAATCCAGTTCATCATGACAGAACGAAACATGTGGAGGTGGACAAACACTTTATAAAGGAAAAAATAGATAGTGGGGTAATTTGTATGCCCTATATTTCTACAGCCAAGCAAATAGCAGACGTACTTACAAAGGGTCTGCCAAAGAAACAGTTTGAAAGCTTAATCAGCAAGCTGGCCATGGAAGATATCTTTAAACAAGCTTGAGGCGGAGTGTTAGAAAACTTCTAAATCTGACATATTTTAAGAGATTTAGTTTCCTTAAAATTAGAATTTAATTTTTCTTTCTTACTTTATTCTTTCTTTCCTTTGTTTTCTGCTGTAAATATAACTACTATTATGTACCTATGAGAAGAATTAATGACAATTATTTTTCTACAATATACTCTCTCATTCAACAATACAATATACCAGTCAATACCAAAGTAATTTTGAATGTCTTCGCAATCAATAGGGATCCCGAGTATTGGAAGGATGCTGAGAGATTTAAGCCAGAGAGATTTGCAGGCAGTGGTATTGGATTCACAGGAACGCATTTTGAATATCTCCCTTTTGGTGGAGGAAGAAGGATATGCCCGGGCATATCATTTGGTATAGCCAATGTCAAGTTTCTTCTTGCTCAACTACTTTACCACTTCGACTGGAAACTTCCCAATGGGAAAAAGCCGGAGGATCTAGACATGACTGAGATACTTGGCATTGCTGTTAGACAAAAAAACAAGCTATATCTTGTTCCTACTCCTCAAACTTCACTTGATTAGTCAATGTTACTGCTGTTAATGGTAGATATTGTATCAGACGAATTAGGTACTGTCTTGCTTGAAATTTGATGCACCTTATCACTACCTGAACTCTGAACCACACCGATGTATCCAAGCCTTTTCCATTACCAGATTCTTTATATCATGTCTGTTAAGATTTTTAATTCTTGATTCCATAGAATTGAATTTTATTGGAATAAAGCTTAGTTTCTCTTGTTGTTAAGTTGGTTCCTATCCTTTGCCTTTATCCAGAAGATGGCAAACACCCATGTTACCAAATAAAATGCAATTCTATGTGATCCAGAATTACACATATGCAACCAGTTGAAGGCAGAAAACTTCAATATGTTATAGCTGTAGCCAGTAATTCTCCTTCAAATTTCAGCAGTTAAAGCATGGAGTTGGAGGACTAACCCTGAAAATCTTGGCGCCAAAACTTTGCAATCTCCATACAATGTATGAAAGACGCTTGCCATTCGATGAAAGAATGAAGAAGAAGAAGAAGACAGTACATGAGTTCATAAATCGAAACTCATTTTCAACATTTTTTATATGAAGTAGATATCACCATAAGCATGAAATGAGCAACTCTAAAGGTCAACACTCCATTTCTCTTTTTTCTAAACATTTTCTAATAAAAGAATTTACAATAATAACACTTGGTAAGCCATCGAATACAAAGTATGTTATACAGTTTGATAGAAAAAAATTGACGATTTTAACATGCGCTGTAAAATAAACATTAATATACTGTATATAATCAAGTCACTAACAATATTATTTTCCATCGAGTTTTATTAATTATTGCCACCATTAAGGATCACCTAACAATTACCATATCCTGATTTAAAGAATTGATTTCAGTTAATCAACTTAACCTCAAATCCAGGTCAATTATATTTTCCTGACCTCACTTTCACCTACTCTAAGAAGCACTTTACTTAACTTCTGGGAAATTTTCATTTTAAATAGTCAACTAGCTTACACGCAAGGTTAGGATTAATTTTACTGAGAAGTGTTGAATTTTATGGTATTTTTGAGTACATATGGCATGTTTAGTGCAAAATATTAGACACGGTATTTCTTTATGCGATTCAGTCATAATGATTCATGTCAAATATCTAGCCAAACATGCCATACTTCAGCCAAGCACTAATCTTGATCCATGCAATTCCATTTACTGTGGTTATAAAGTAGATGATTCTACTTCTGATATCATTTATAAACAATGCAGTGAGAATATATGGCAGAAAAAGGCTAAATTTGATACAAAGCAAGAGCCTTGCTTGTCTCAAAGTTGTCACACAATTTGCTGGAGAGTGTTGGCAATCAATTACGCAAAGCAAATCTACAAGGAGATGCCCTCTATGACGTCTTCTTCAAAACACTAGTCGAAGATAATAAAAAATAAAAAAAAATCAGATATAGTAGCAAGAGTTATTTGGTCATTTCTAGCAGAATTTGAGGATGCAGCTGCCTATGAAATGATATTAAGAAATATTGAAGAAGTTCGAAATATTTTCTTCTGCTGTACAGATTACAGACTACTCAAACCATGGAAATGATATTACAGGTCCTGCCATGGCTGTTTCTTTCTACATTCTAGCACTTACAACCTAAACATGGGGGGCAAATGCACAAGATAAATTCTCGTCTGATTTTGTTTATTATCAGAAATGGACATGATTTCTGATTACCAGAATGAAGGGAAAATGTTAATAAAGTACAATACAGTTTGATAAAAAAAAATTGACGAGTTCAACATGCACATCAACATAAAATACTGTATATAGCAAAGTCAATAATATTATTTCCCATCAAATTCTATTAGTTATTGCCACCTACAAACCTGATTTAAAGAATTGATTTCAATTAATCAAGTTAACCTCAAATCCAGGTAAACTATATTTTCCTGACCTCATTTTCACCTACTCTAATCGAAGGTTAAAATTCGTGAAACACTAATTAATCAAGATAATCTAAAATCCATGTCAGCTTATATTTCGTATAAGCAATAACTGTTGACCGCATTTTCAGTGAATGATGAAATAATTTAATGCAGCAGCCATTGTCACTCTGTTAGGTACAAATTTTTGTATCTAGGGGATCTTTACTTCACAAAAAGTCTAAATACTAAACACTGATTTTCAAGGCTCGAGTTCTGGCTACAAATACCCAGAACTGAATGTACAAGGATCAAACTGATCCTTCCAAAATGGAACTCAAATTTCCCTCTTTTCCCCTTATTTTCATCTCCTTCGCCTTCATATTCCTTCTGCTGAAATTATTCAGTAATTTTCAAAGATTTAGGAGAATGAAGTTGCCACCAGGTCCAGTGAAGCTGCCTCTAATTGGAAACTTGCACCAGCTTGCAATAGCCGGTTCAGTACCACATCATGCCCTGAGAAACTTGGCCGGAAAATATGGGCCTATTATGCACTTACAACTTGGTGAAATTTCTGCAGTCATCATATCAACGCCTAGAGCTGCCAAAGAGGTGCTGAAAACACATGATCTCGCCTTTGCGTCGAGGCCAAAATTTCTGTCTCCAGAAATCATGGCATATAATTATTTAGACATAGCTTTTGCTCCCCATGGTGGATACTGGAGACAGATGCGGAAAATTTGCACCTTGGAGCTCCTGAGCCTCAAGAATGTTCGTACATTTAGTTCTATTCGAGAGGAGGAGGCCTTTGATCTTGTTGAATCCATCACATCGTCTTTTTTTTCACCAATTGATTTGACTCAAAAGGTATTTTCATACGCAAACAATATTATTTGCAGATCAGCATTTGGAAAGAGATTCAAGAATCACGAGGAACTGATACAGTTGACCATCGAGTTAACGGACTCTGCTGGGGGTTTTGATGTTGCTGACTTGTTTCCTTCAATCAAAATCCTTCAAAACATTAGCGGATTGAAATCCAAATTGATGAAGCTGCATTACAAAATTGATCAGATCTTAAACAGCATCATTGAGGAGCATAAAGAGAGATTGGCAAATACAGTAAAGTTTAATGGTCAATCGAGTGAGGAAGATCTAATTGATGTTCTCCTAAGACTTAAAGAAACAGGCGATCTCGAATTTCCTATCACAATCAACAGTATGAAAGCTATCATCCTGGTAAGTCGACTCCTACTCTTTTATTGATCCATGTCAATTCAGCTGTGATTTAAAATGCTGCTTCACTCCCTATACAGGACATTTTTTCTGCTGGAACAGATACTTCTGCAACAACAATAGAATTCGCTATGGCAGAAATGATGAGACACCCTAGTGTGTTGGAAAAAGCGCAAGCTGAACTAGGACAAATTCTTAAAGGGAAGGATAGAATACAGACAAATGATTTGGAGGGACTGGACTATTTGAAGATGGTGATCAAAGAAACTCTAAGGCTCCATCCATCTCTTCCTTTGTTACTACCTAGAGTATGCAGGGAGCACAAAGAAATTGATGGATACAATATACCCACTGAAACCAAAGTAATTTTGAATGCCTTCTCAATCAACAGAGATCCCGAATATTGGAATGATGCTGAGAGTTTCGAACCAGAGAGATTTGCAGAAAGTGGTATTGAATTCATAGGAAAAAACTTCGAATATGTCCCTTTCGGGGGAGGAAGAAGGATATGTCCGGGCATATCATTTGGTTTAGCCAATGTTGAGCTTCTTCTTGCTCAACTACTTTACCACTTTAATTGGAAACTTCCTGATGGGTTGAAGCCTGGAGATCTAGACATGACCGAGATACTTGGGCTAACTATTCGAAGGAAAAGCAAGCTATATTTGGTTCCTACTCCTCGTACGCCACTTAGTAAATATTACTACTGTTAGCGGTGGACGATGCAGAAGTTACTAAGATTTTGAACTTCCAGAATTATGATGCACCTTACCACAACCTGAACTTTGCATCACACTGATGAATCTAAGTCTTATATGCTGTAAGTTCCTATGTTTAACACATTCCCCGGCCTAAATAAACTGAAATGGAGGACTACGTAGAAATTATAAGGAGATAAAATGAAGCAAGGTATGCAGTAAACTGCTCAATGCGGAACCAGAAAGTTGTCCATCATGTTGGTCACAGCCATGCTCGCCAAGCCGACTAAGATATTTTTAACTAATCTGCTCATTTTTAACCTCAGTAATTTTTAAATTTTGAAAAGTCTGGACTTAATACTATAATAATTTAATCGAACACCTCAGTAATTTTCAAAACTATGTAGATCTAGCCCGTTTTCCATTAAGTAAATTTTAACAATGAAAAACTTTTTCCATGAATTCAGGATTCAATATCTATTTGATTCAATATATTTACCTGATAGACTATGTGCAAGTAGATGGATTTATTGATTACTAAATTTTCTAGTTCTATCTGTTTTAATATTATTAGTATATATGTTTCAGATAAATTGACCAAATAAGTAATAGATAACGCCAAAATGAAAAAGATCGTGACAGAAATCATTTTTTTATCATGACCTTTCATTTTGGTTTGATTAAAATTCAGATTTTCGGTAAATTTTTATTAAAATAGATTGAATATTGTGATAAAAGGTTGATAAAAGTTATAGATTAATACATAAATGTATGGTTAAAAATAAGTGTGAAGAAAATAAATATTAAAAAACTGGGGCCAAACAGGGGCATAATTTACTCTCTAGATTCGTTCTCACTATGAATTTCTTCGTATTCAGCTATATTATATGTCTACATTAATTTTTTTTTTAAATTTTTTTTTGGTAGTTACAGATATCACTTATTCTAAATGTTATTATATTCACACCATCATTTTTTTATGTTAAGATGGGCTAATTATTGAAGATTAAAAATGAGAATATAATTAAAAAAATTTGGTGCATGTGAATATATAATAATAATGTTCATCTTCTCTTATTGCAGGTCAACGCAGCTAAATCCTAGAATTGTTCTTTAACATATACCAAATTTCTTGCCAGCCTCATTTTCATATGTTCTATATAATAAAATAACTTATGAAGAAGCCATTTTTCTTTCACTCTCTAAAATAGCAAACCTTGCATCCAGGGGAATCTTTCCTTTAGTAAAAGTTTATATATGCCCCCCGAGCATAGTCCAGTGGTGCAAAGGGTAGGAGTGAGGTTATCTCACGCGTTGTTGATAGCAGCAGTGTGGAGATTCGATTCCTGAGACATGAAATTGGACTCATTGTAGGCGCAGTGTATAGGCAGCTGTTGTTTCCTAGTCTGTTGGGGCACATCCCGCGATTTACCTCCCTCACAAAACTCTAAGAACGGGGCAGTGGGGGCCCTCAAGGCTGGAGTTCAACCTTTATATATAGTTTAGACCCTAGACAACCTTGAATTTGAGACTGCTTCATAGGATGTTTATTATTTCTTCTGATTCTTATAGAAGAGCTTCCTAACAATTATACTTTAAATCGGATTCTTCTAAAAACTCTTTTAACCACACAAAACACTTCCAACAAAGTATTCAAATATGTGCAAAAGCAGCTTTTGACTTTTCCAAAGTAATATCAAACATGCCCTTCATGGTTTTAATTTCTATTCTCTAATATAGATGCCATTGGCAATGGCATGTCAAGACAAGCAAATAGAAGGTAACCTTAAGCAAGATTTCACCTAATATCTTTTTAGTATGTGTACTACAACAAAAATGTCAGACGACCAAACTAAAACATTACAACACATATAATATAGTCACTGAATACAAATCATCATTTTCGCTTTGCTAACATCTAATCAAGTCGTGCTTCACGAAATTCAATGAATTTCCTTGTTATTCTGCTAAATTATATATGTTTCCATTCAGATTTTGAGTTGTTTGAGATATCACCTTATTATTTAATCATGCAAGCAATAATGTTCACCTACTCTTATTGAAATCAATATAGATTAATAATATCCAACTGTATAGTAATATATGAGGAACTATACCTTTGTATGAAGACGAATCTTTACTTTAGCTAATGTCCAAAGACTGACCTCAACTGCAGATACAAATACACAAACTGATAACAAGGATAAAATTGTCTCTACCAAAAATGGAACTCAAATTTCCCTCTCTTCCCCTCATCATCATCTCCTTCACCTTCGTAATCATTTTACTCAAATTATTCAGTAATTTAAGAACAAGAATAAAATTGCCACCTGGTCCATGGAAGTTGCCTCTCATTGGAAGTCTGCACCACCTGGCATCGGCTGGTTCGGCACCACATTATATGCTTAGAAACATGGCACGAAAATACGGGCCTATTATGCACTTCCAGCTTGGTGAAACTTCTGCTGTTGTCATATCAACACCTAAAGTGGCCAAAGAGGTATTGAAAACTCATGATATTGCCTTTGCGTCGAGGCCAAAACTTCTGGCTCCTGAAATCGTCACATATAATTATTTAGACATAGCCTTTGCTCCATATGGTGGATACTGGAGACAGATGCGCAAAATCAGTACCTTGGAACTTTTGTCAGCCAAGAATGTTCGATCATTTAGCTCAATTCGAGAGGAAGAGGCGTCTAATCTCATCTTATCCATCCAGTCGTCCTTATTTTCACCAATTGATTTGACTCAGAAGATCATCTCATACACAAATAATGTAGCCAGCAGAGCAATATTTGGAAACAGATTCAAGAACCAAGAGGAAGTGATATCACTGATAACTGATTTAACATCCACTGCAGGAGGTTTTGATGTTGCTGACTTGTATCCTTCTATCAAAATCCTTCAAGTCATTACTGGGTTGAAATCCAAATTGATGAAGCTGCACTACAAATGTGATCGGGTCTTGACTGATATCGTTGATGAACATCAAGAAAGGCTGGCAAATAAAGAGAAGTTCAATGGTCGACTGGAGGACGAAGATCTAGTTGATGCTCTGTTAAGACACAAAGAAAGTGGCGATCTCGATTTTCCAATCACAATCAACAGTATAAAAGCTGTTCTTCTGGTAAGTTAATTCCACTTCATCTACAAAATTCAGGTGTGTGAGCAAGTGATTTAAAATGTTCTTCCACTCTATTTACAGGAGTTGTTCTCTGCTGGAACAGATACTTCTGCAACAGCAGTAGAATTCGCTGTGTCGGAAATGATGAGACACCCCAAAGTGATGGAGAACGTGCAAGCTGAACTGAGACAAGTTCTTAGAGGAAAAGACAGATTAAGGGCGACCGACTTGGAGGGACTGCGTTATATGAAGATGGTGATCAAAGAAACTTTACGGTTGCATCCGCCTGTTCCATTGCTAATTCCTAGAGTGTGCAGGGAGCATAGAGAAATTGATGGGTACGATATACCTATCGAAACAAGAGTAATTTTGAACGCATTTGCAATCAATAGGGATCCCGAATATTGGGAGGATGCTGAGAGTTTTAAACCAGAGAGATTTGCCGGTAGTGAGATTGAATTCATAGGACCAAATTTTGAGTTTCTCCCTTTCGGTGGAGGAAGGAGGATATGCCCTGGCATATCATTTGGTTTAGCCAGTGTCGAGTTTCTTCTTGCTCAACTACTCTACCGCTTCAACTGGAAACTTCCTGATGGAATGAAGCCTGAAGATCTCGACATGACTGAAATACTTGGGAGCACTACTCGGAGGATTTCAAAATCGTATCTGGTTCCTACTCCTCGTACTCCACTTGGTTAATCAATGTTATTGTTATCGATGGACAGAGTAGACATTAAAATAAAGTTGCTGTTCTGCTAGAAATTTGACTTGCCTTTTCTGTACCCTGTCTAAGTCTTGAGAAGCAAACCCACCTACAAATTAATCAAAACAATTGATTAGTGTAAGGATTTGCAAAGTAAAATGAAGAAAATCAAGACCAAAATCTGAAAAATTAAGGAACGGTTTTCCCCTTTATATTTCGGCTCAGAAACTTGATCCACACCACAAAAGTATCTCCAATTTGAAGGCCATTATCAGTCACACAGACAGATTCACAAAGAAAAGGCAAAAGAGGATTGGTTTGCACTAAGCAGGGAAGTTTTTTTTCTTCCTCTTGTTTTTGCTCTCGGTTTGGTGTATTTAATGGAATGGAAAAGTCTCCTATTTATAGGCTTATAGAAGTGAACGAATTTCACAGGAGTCTGCAAGATTAGATTCGAATAAAAACTGCAAGATTATATCCAAACTGAAAAATAGAGCTCATCCAACAAAAATGAGATAAAATTGGTTTGACAAAGATAACGATAATATTTATCCATCTTTCATGTGAATTTCAAATTCCCTCCAAGTTGGGTATTGGGCATCTAACCCAATGGGCTGATTATCTCTAAATACCCAACATAATTGGGTTACTTCAATTGTGGTGTGGATTTAATTCTTCAATCCTGGGCTTATAGCCTATAAAGTTAAAACGGGCCTCGATTTTTCATCATAACCTAGGGGGTTTGGGCATCACTTACCAATCATGCCCAACAATCTCCACCTTGATGCCAAATCATCCTGCAAGTCAGATAAGATAACAAATAACTTAAGGGAAGAGACTTACAAGTTTGTATCGATGTTTAGAAGATCAAGGCAGCTTCTAAACTTTACCAATGGGAACACCTTAGTTCCCATATCAGCAGGATTATATTCTGAAAGGACTTTCTCAAGTTTTACCAGTTCTTGAGAAACCATATCTCTAATGAAATGCAATCTAACATCTATATGTTTAGTACGTTCATGAAAAACAGGATTTTTGCATAGGTGAATAGCAGATTGGCTCACATTGTCCTTAAAAACACCAAGTTCATTTAATACGCCTTTAAACCACAAAGATTCTTTGAAGGTTTCAGTAGCAGCAATGTATTCTGATTCAGTAGTAGATAATGCAACAACATGTTGAAGTTGTGATTTCCAACTAACACATGAATTACACAAAGTAAACATGTAGGAGGATGTAGATTTCCTATTATCTCTATCACCAGCATAGTTAGCATCAGTAAAACCTTTCAATTTTATTCCTTCAGTACTAAACTTATATAGTAAGCCAATATTGCATGTTCCTTTCAAATATCTAAACAACCATTTCAGAGCCTCCCAATGTTTAGGACCCGAGTTGGATATATACCTGTTAAGTGTACTAACAGCAAAAGCTAAGTCAGGTCTAGTACACACCATTAGAAACATCACAGAACCAATAGCATTTGTATATGGAATTCATTTCATATATTCTTCTT